ACATTGTGAAGCTGCTGAACCAAACCCAAACCCAGCAACACTTTGATTTTATTACTTAAGCAATAAAGGTTTTTGTAGTATAGACCACTAATAACATCAGAGTTCTTGCTACTCACACCAGAAGACTACGGGACTAACGCAGGATGCTCTTTTCTGGGTATTTGGGCAAACATCAAGACTTTTCTCATCGTGTGTATTCCAGAACAGGCATTGCTCCAAATATCTGACCAGGATGTATTAGTGTTCCACAAGGGACACTATCCTGTTAATGGAGCCTAATCCGTTGCTAGTGATTCTGTGGGTGGCTGACACAGGACTTTCTGGTCAGTCTTAGGACTTTCCCTGGGACTTTCCCCAGAGGCAAGAACCAATTAGACACAGGATTGAAGAAACAATCATTAATCAGGAGGACTGGAAATGAGCAGACCTCACTGCCTGGTGGAGACTGGGTGGTGAATGTCAGGGTATATCCCCTGCACGCTCCACCTTTTGTAGGCAACCCCCTCCTGTGACTATGCTGACACTCCCTCTCTATCTTGCTGAAATAAATCGGCTCTGCAACCCACACTTGCCTGTGGCCGCAGAGGCCACCTCCTCATTTCTTAAGGCAGAAAGGCCCAAGACCCTGCCCACCAACAGGAACAGTGGACCCTGCCTACCTTGACTCCATCAACTGTGGGGAACAATTCAAGTGACATCATCATATTTAATACCTGATCAACTAAATCTTTAGTTATTTACCCATGACTCATAAAATCCATATGTATACATATATTTTATATTTATGCAACAGACTTCTTCTTTACATAAATAAGCTTGAGATACATTCAGCGCGACATGGAAATTACATTTCCATTGACGACATTCTTATACGTAATGCAGTCACAGGCCAAATGGGCTGACTTTATGTGCCTCTTCTTCACCAGAGGCAGCAACACGTTACTAAGGAAACAGAACCGTCAGCGAACATATAATGATAATAGTGAACTAAGGTTAACTAGTACAGTACCAAAAGCTCAAGTAGACCCACATTCAAACTCCTGCCCCCCAAAGCTTCTGCCCTGTGATTGCACAGGCTACTTAACCTCTCTGAGCTGCTGTTTCTTCATTTGCATAATGAATCTAATAAATACCAGCAGCTGTGAAGAATAAAGAAGTCTCTCATATGGTGTCAGGAAGTGACTGTCCCTTGCTGGTTTCTTCTCCTTCCCAGCTTTTTAATTTTCTCATAGAGATACAATTAGTTCTGCCTTGAAAACTTCGACACATGCCTCAAATCAGAGTGTTAACCCCCTTAGCTTACCCAAAGAAAGGCCATCTAAATATCGAGATGATAAAGGGAGATGATTAACAGGCAGCACGGAAATGCAAAAACACAATTTCACTAGCTAGAAAAGAGGAAGAGTCACGGTTTACGGGCCCTGGCCTAGCACAGGAGGCCGTTGTCCCTGTCCCTGAGCCCCAGGCCACCTTCACTAGTAGAAACATCCCTGCATACCCCAGAGAGAGAGAGAAAGTGATTGCAGATTCTTGGTTGGGGACTTGAGGGCTTTAAAAAAATTAAGACTTACTATTGCTTAATTATAAAATATATATGTATATGTCAGAAATATTTGAAAATATATTTATGTACTTACATATTTTTGAAATATAGACAATATGGAATTATAGAAGTATAAAATCTCTTAAGCATCTAGCATTTAGAAAAGAGTTTGGGTTTTTTTTTTTTTTCTTTCTTTCTTTTCAAATTAGGGGCTTTGGGTGGGAAGCACTGAGCAGTAGGTTTGCGGGATTTGGGAATTTGTATCACCTTTGGTCACAACTCTGATTTAAAAATTTGGGACCGAAATGATGGGTCTTGAAGAAGGGGAAGCAGGCCAGGGGGTGATTTCACCTCGCTCTAGACTGAAGATTGAAGTGAGAGTCTTTGGATATCTAAGTTATTCAGCAAGTTTGCCATGATCAGGAGGAGGTGAGAATTCACCATTTTGTTTTTTCCTAAATGTAAAGACTGTGCTTTTGGCTGGCACTTAACGAAGTAGATGGGGCCTGAGATCATGAGGAATCTAGCACCATGCTAGCCCGAAAAACTTAAACTTATAAGAGAGGATGGTGTTCTCAAATAAATAAAATTAAATGAAAAAGAAAATACCCTGGCTTCCAGGAAATGGGGGTGGGAGATGGAGGTGATTTTATTCTTTTTAAATGATTCGAGTATTTAATTTGTGTCTAAAGACACACATCTGGACACAGGGGGACACATGGCCCTGTACAGCGATGTCAGTTCCTGTTTAGCCACCATCATTAAAATACATTACTAAACCCTTTCATTAAAAAAATGATATCACATACCAAATGAAGAGTGTTCCTTTGAAACTCATTTGAGCACCTCTGTGGTCACAATTTACCCAATGAGTCTTTACATTAAAAGCATCATGTAAAATAGTAATAAAATGAAATTATTTTTGAGAGCGAGTGATTATAGTAAAGCAACGTTACGATTTTTACGATCTGAATAAAGCAGCAACCAGTGATTACCTTGTAACTACCTCTGAAATTACACTTCCCTTGAATATATTATTATATGTGGTGCAGTGACAGCCTGCAATTGTTAACTTCATGTGGGTACTTTTTATAGAAAAATCAAAAGCCAGCGACTTCACAAGTGGTCATTTGTTTCTGCCAGAAATTTGGGAACTGTGTGGGTGAATGCAACTAATTTCTATGACAAGGAAAACCGACTCAAAGAGAAGAAAGCAGACTCTGTTCAGAAGTGTCTGTGTTTGACAGTCCTTGAATGCTCCTATCTGTATCTTTGAAAGCCCTGAAGCACATCTCTCTAGTGCGTCCTGTATAAGTTCATATTTGGTTGTAGGCCAAGGCCAATTTGTTAGCGCTGCTGATAGATTCGCAGCTGTGGGGGTGGAGGTTAAGGGTCACAAAGTGTCCTCATGAATAGCAACCCCAGCAGCTGCAGCAGCTACACTGTGGCAAAGGAATCTGTGGGAGTGACAGGAATGTTGGTGGCCAAGAAGCAAAAGTCTCTCTCACTTCTACTCCTCTCCTTCCCCACCACCACCCCGTGGCTCTGATGTCAGAATTTGGAGTCGCCTGCTGGCCCCTGGGCAGAGCTGCACCTTTGCTGCTCACGCCTTCCTGATGTCTCACCCTCTTGGGGAAAGCTTTGCTGTTATTCTGCCACACCTCTGTCCAGAGAAAGGAAGGCAAACCTCCTTCCAAACAAACCACAGCATGACAGATTTAATAAATTAAGAGATGGTGAGCGCATTTGTAATTAAATCCAGTATTCAACAGGAGAGGCATGATACTTAGCTAGGTACAAAATGAGGTGCCTAGGGACCCAGATATCCTGTGTCTCTAAAACAAAAAATAAAAAGACATTGGCCTGAGATAAAGATGAAGAAGTAAGCGTGGGTTAGGTTTTAGTCTCACTCCCTGAAAACAAAGGTTAATCATGGCAGATATTAAGTGACACAAAATATCTGTGTCCTTCTAGGGCTGCCACTAAAGTAAATGGCAGCCAGAGTGTGTGCTGGGAGGCTACTGTGGGCCTGGGAACACATGATGAGGAAGGATTTTATTAGACCAGAGTGGTTGCAAGGAGATTTAAGACGTACTTTGAGAGAACTGAGGGAACCTGCTGAATAACTAACTGTGGAGGGAAGTAAAGGAGTAGAAGGCCCAGTGTTTCTTTCTTGAACTACTTAGGGACCAGGGCATTTATTAAAGAAAACAAGTTGACAGAGAAATCTCTTAAGTCATGGCATCCGCTAAAGCCTGAAAAATGATTTATTTACTTGACTAAAATTTAATGTAGAAGCAAATGCTTAAGAATGTAGCGTGTATGTGTGATGAAAAACAGACAGGCATTCACCACCAGTTTTCAGTCAAACATTAACCACAATTCCCAGCACATTAACACTTGACAGAGGCTGCCTCTCCTACAAGGAAAGCTGAGGTTTTCCCTGGATTCAGGAGCTTTGTATTAAATAGCAACGATGAGCTGACATTAGTGCCACTCCCAAGCCCAGGGCCCTGACTCCAGGTGCAGCTCAAAGACATCATGACTTAGAAGCCCAGGGAAGTCCCGTTTCCTCCAGCTCCCTAACTCAGACCTGGGACAGAGATGAGAAAGTTCCCTAAGCAGATGACAGGTTTCTATTTCCCTTTGCAGGACTAGACCCTAGAAGAAATGGTTAAGCACTCTGAGGTACCACTGAGAGCAGCCAGATGGCTGTGTTGAAAGCCTGGCCCCACTGAGATCAGTCCCCGGGAAATTATTCCAGTTAATGCTTCCAACTTCATTCACTGCCTTTGCCTTGACAATATGTCCCAAGCTGATGTTGGTTGACATCCACTCTCAAATGCATGCCTACCCTAATTTAGATCTTGCGCTCTCTTTCCTGAGCCTGCCAGGCAGGTAGTCATCACCTCTTGTTTACAAACTGAATTCTCAGCCTGAAATTTTGCTGAATCTTCATTCTAGCCCTCCCTTGGTGACCTCGCTCTGACACCTCCCAAACTCTCCAGCTGTGATTCCTAGTCTGGAATTTGCTAGTTCTTTCTCCAGGGTGCACCCTTACCTTAAGTCCAAGATTCGTGGGTGAAAATAAGGCCTCATCATATACAAAGGGTGCAAAAATAAGTATACACATTTTAGGAAAGGAAAAAAATGTATTAAAATTGTAATACTCAAGTCACATTCGACTTCTGCAATTACAAGAGATATAAGATACAATATACAAGTATATGAAGTCTATAACTACAAAAATCAAATGACTAATTTGTTATTTAACTACAGACTCAGCAAGTATATTAACACTGTAGAGTATTGATTTAGGACATAGTGGCAAAAAGTATACAACAGAATAAAGTACATTTCAGAAGAGTAAAACTTTCAAGGTTATTGATATAAGGTTTACTTAAATAAAACACACACACACACACACACACACACAATTATAAAACACATCACATACCTCCTTCCATCTGTTAGCTTTCCATGAAGGGCATCTGGCAGACCTACAGGCCTTGTGCATTCGAGGTTTCTGCAGATGACTGCAGTATTGTTCTTCTAATTTCCCTTGGAATTGGTCAATGCAAAGCACCTCCCGGTACTTTATGCCTTTGCCACAAGAAGCTGAGCACTAGAAAAGAAATATGAATGCCCTTGATTCATTTTTTCTTAATTAGGTTTATCTTCACGAAGTATGACATGAAACGGTCAAAACGTCCTTTCTTTGATATTTTTATTTAAGATATACTCTAGTATTTCTAATTAGAGAGAAGTTGAAATTTGCCATTCTGCTTTGTGACATCAATTGATGTTATTGTTGGGTAACGTGATAACCTTTTATTATCATTCATTCTATAAAAATGGACTGATTATCTGTAGTAGAACTGGTACTCTCTGGCACATAACTGTTTTCAGGGGTGTCCAACCTGTGGCCCACAGGTTATGTAGGGACTATTTAAGGACTGTTTTGCTTATCTGTGATGTCTGTGAAATTTACGCACAGGCCTTTTTTTGTACTCATCAGCTTTTGATAATGTTTGTGTATTTGACATGTGGCCCAAGATAATTCTTCTTCCAATGTGCAGCAAAAATAAAAAAGGCTGGAGTCCCCTGTAAGATCTTTTATGGCTAAAGCCCGTCTTCCACTAACTCCTTTTATCATGCATCATACAATAAAAACTTGCTCTCAATTTTGAAGAGTCCAAATCTATCCTATTTTTATCCCCATATGCTTTTCCACGTTGCAAAATATGTTTTCCATGTTTTAAAAAATTTTAATGATCTCTCAATGCAGGAAATGTGATCGAGAAGGTAGAAATTTTATTTTCTATATAAAAGTATAATGCAGTTCAGGTCTGTCTTCTGCATCAATTTAGATGTTTCTTTCTGCCATTAACCCTCCAATATATTTAATAAAGCAAAGAAAAAACCCTAAAGTCTTTTAAAAGTATAGATTAAACAATTATTGAACTTCACATTTCAGCCAGTTGCCATTTGATGAGTGAGACCACTGCAACATTGTGGAAAGAACTTGGGTTCTTACTGCTGGGTGACTTGAGGAACAATTTATCTATCACCTGTCCAAGCCTGTTTCTTTTTGTAAAGTGAGGAACAATCTTACAAGCCCGTTAGGAAAAATAACACAAGACAAAGGATATGAAAAGTCCAATCAGATCCTATTCCATATGGTGGGTCATCAGTAAACAGTGGCCTCCTCTTCCAGCATTTTCCTTCACACAGCCTCCGAAAAGATACTGACTGTTTCAGCAAGATCTATGCTACCAGGGCAAAGTTAAGCAAAAAGAGACATGGAGACCAGGCAACTCTCCTCATTCTTCTGAGACAGCTGTTGACACATGGTTTCATTTAGAAATTTACACTGAGTTCTGAGAACATCAGATGATCTATTATGTCGTTTATGTGTATTATGAATTCACAGACTATTAAACTATCTGCACAGACTATTAGATGCTTAAAATAAACTTTTAAAAATGAATAGTTTGGGGGTAATTTACTTTTTTATATTATCTAGAATACTATATCCCATTTGTCTAGGCAATTAATTTACAAGTCAGTACCTGATTATTAAGATTTACTATAATCATAGCCTACATGTCTTCTCTCTCCTCCCCTTATGAATACTTATAGCCTCCCTGAGCCACGCAGAAGACATTTGGCTCTGTGAAAATCTCTAACAGATCTTCATATACACTGTACTGAATTAAGACAACATTCTTTCCTCCTGTTGATCTAGACATGCCTATAGGCTCTGCTCTTCTCTGGCTATTTATCTTGGACACTTTTGCTGTCCATTTCTTTCTTTAGTTGCTTATTTTTCAAAGAGTGTGACATACTGTACACTAAAACTCAAATATTATTAAGTATTAAACACATAAAAATGTGCACTAACTACTTCAAGTACATACATGTTCACACATGGAAGAATGTTTCCCCTCTCAGATGCATATTATTTTTCTTACTTTTGAGTTGGGACTATTTGGACAAAGGTAACAATTATTACTCTTCCTTTTAGCCCCTCTCAGTAATGATTATGATGATATTCATGTGCAGATTTATTTAACATGGTCTCTTGCTTTTGCCCATTGTTTATACTGAAAGTGCTTATCATCTGAGGGACACACACCATCTATGAAATGGATGATGCCAGAGTAGGTCTTAAATAAAGTTAAACCCAGCAAAGACCATAAAAACAAAAACACTAGAAGATACTAAATACCATTCAAATAATACAATAAAAAGTATAATGGAATTAGGAAATTCATGGAAAGTAGCTATTTCTTTCTGGGATATTTGATAACTACACAAGGAGAAGGTGGTATTTGAACTCAGTCTTGAAGGATAAATAGGTTTGTTGCTGGACAAAGATGGATGATCTTACGTATTTGTTTGATGTACCTTATCTAGACATTGTCCGTGCATGTCTGCTTTGTAAAATTCCCACAGTTCTTTTAACAGTGCCAAGAATCCGAGAATCACTCAATAAATACAAAGTTAATTGTGTTAAAATTTCTCATGAGACTGGCCAATTCATTTAGAAAGTCAGGAACTGTAAGACGAGAGAGACTAAGGTCAAGATTCTACTTTAGAATTCAGCAATGTATTTCTTCTATAAGCAATGTATATGAAAGAAATGTACATATGGACGTGTACTGCATTGTCAAAGGTAAGATTACTCTCAGGAAAACTGAGTGTGCTCCTACACTAATTATAACTCTAGAGCATCTTTGATTCCTTTTCTTCCTTGTTATTATAATCTATTAGAATAATATAGTCCATTACTAGCCTATTGTAGATGATTTTTAACATAAAACTATATTTATCAACACATTTTATGTCATTTTTATAGCTCATATTTTATAAGCATATTTTATTTATTAAACATATTTTCATAAATGTTGCTCTTCTTTGCTCAAGAACTGATAACGGCTCTCTACTGCCCTTAATAGCAAAATAAAACGAACCCTCTTTCTTGCATTCTTGGTCCCCTACATTTTAGTCAACATACTTTTCCAAATTTATATTTTGCCGATTTTAGTTATGCAAACTTTTCTCTGGTTAGGAGTACTATCATTGCTTTAATGTGGCATAGTCACTCAACAAATGTCCTAACTCCATATTTCTCTTAACCCATCACTTCCCTTGGTACTTTCTAAATATTACTTATACTTAACAGCCCCAAGCAAATCCCATGTCTCGGGTAAATACATACAAATATTTCATTTTTCTGATCCCTTCCCTGTGAGTCCCACCCTGTTTTTAGCACTTCATCGGTTTCTGCATTTGTCACGTGCTTTACCAATCCAGCCTCCTGGACGTCAAGTCCTACCAGATCATCCATATCGCCTACAAAGTATCACGGGCAATAAATAAATATCAACGATCAAGTGATGTTGATTTCTGGTATAAGCAATTTGTCATTGTTGCTTATTAACTTTTTTTATTAAGCTCTAAAATAACGTATTTTAACAATTTTAATACCATAAAATATATTCATTGGTTAACAGACTCCAAGTCCTTTAGTCACAACAGAAAAAAACACAAAATCAAAGAATCGTACAATAAATGATGCTTTGGGGACATTTTTCAATCGGAGCTGTCTTTTTTCAAGATCTAAAGCAGAATAAGCACAGTATTTTATCATGTCTGATGAATTCCATGTGGGAATTTCTTGAAAGTAAAAAAGAACATGTTTTTCAAAGAATTATGTTTTAGCTGGAAGGAGGCAACCACAGAGGAAAGAAGTAGTGAAACGCTGCCCTCCCCTCGAACCACAGCACTTTCTGAGCTGTAAAGATTCCACAAAATACCCTATTTGGTAGGAACACCCAAACTGGCAATTCTTCCTTCTGATACCCTAGCAATCTTTTCTTTCTCTCCCGTCCCCCGTCTTATATCCCTGACATTATCCTGGTCCCTAAAGTTTTATTAATGCTGTATAATTCATTTATAGCATTCCTATCTAAATAATTTTGCTTAAAAATCACTTCTATGTCCCTTAATTGACCCAGTCTTAAACTCCAGCTGAGTTTTTGCCATGACTACATGGAACAGTAAACACAGAACACAACTCATTTCAGAAGTAGTGACATGAAATAAACATGCAAGGACCCCCAAGGACTCTTATGAATTAGGTGAACATAAATGTCTATGATAAAACAGGCCATTTAAACAAATGTACAATTTGTGAGCCCAAAAATGTACCAGAACTTCCAAAGTTGTTTGTTTAGCTTCACTGGTAGTCTCCATTTCAACATGGAGAGTTGGAATTAATTAGTTCCTGCTGACATGATAAATTTTGGAACAAGTATATTCTTGCTTTTAGAGAAAAGCTGCACATAATTATAGAACAAGATTATGTCTGATATTTGAGGTGTGGATTGTTTTATTTGTTTATATATATTCTTCTACCATGGAAGAATTAATAAATGGAATTAATTTGAGGGAGTCTTGTTGCTTAATTTAATTCAGGAAACTTAAATTACTAAACAAAATAAACTAAGGAAATCAAGCTTATTTAGCTCAGTTCTAAAAAATGGGACAGGTTTCTATGTATTTTTATATTGATCAGGCACTGTATGCTCTCTGACTATTCTGGGAAACATACTGGTAGCAGGACAATTAGTTAGTACCCTGACTCGTAATGAAATAGTAATAAAGCAACTGTAACACTGTAAGTTAGTCACCTACAAACCGTGCCTTTTATAGACTTTATGTGTTGGGTAACCATAGGCAGGTTCTTTAAACCTCAATGGACCTTCATTGTTTCATATGTAATACTGGTTAAATATTCGTATGAATCTCTAGGTCAAGTTAAGAAAGAACGGAATGGGGGGATGGGTGGAGGGAGGAGGATTGGAGGGATCACTTCTATGGTTTATCCTACAAGGGTACAAGTGAATCTTTCTAAGAGTAGGATATAAACGTCTTATCACAATAACTAAGAAAATGACATAAAGGCTATGTTAACCAGTTTGATGAAAATATTTCAAATTGTATATGAAAACACCACACTGTACCCCATGATTGCATTAATGTATACAGCTATCATTTAATAAAAAAAAAAAAGAAGAAAGAAAGAAGGGAATAAAACACACACACACACACACATAA